CCCCCAGCCCCCCGCAGACCACGGGCCGCTCCCCCAGGCGGCAGCGCAGCAGGAAGCGGTGCAGGTCGCCGTGCCGCATGAAGGGCAGCAGAACCACGGGAGTGGGGGGGGCGTCCGGCCCGCTGCGCTGCAGGCAAACCCCTATGGGGCACAGAGCAAATTGGGGGGCGAGACCCCTGGGGGGCTGGGAGCCAAACCGGGGCTGAGACCCCCGGGGGGGAGCAGGGTGCGGGGCAGAGCGCAGTGTGGGGGCAGACAGCAGTCACTCCCTAATCACCCCATAAGTTGTGGGGGGCCCCCCCTCCACCCCGCAAGTTGTGGGCCCCCCATTGCCCCATACGGTGGTCCCCCCCCACGAGCTGTGGGTCTCCCCCCGCCCCATAAGGGTCCCCCCCATTTTGGGGCGCTCACCCACCAATGAGCCGCATCACGTTGGGGTGCCGGAACTCCTTCATACAAACGGCCTCCCTCAGGAAGTCCTCCAGCTCCCCCCGGGAGCAAATGGCCACTAATTGGGGGCGTTAATTAATAAAGGAGCGGTTAATTATTGAGAGGGGTTGATTAACGGGGGCTTCTCACTCACTCTTCATGGTTTTCACGGCCACTTTGAGGATCCCGCTGTCCTGGTGCAGCTCGCCCTCCATCACCGCCCCGAACTCACCTGGGGGGTTGTGGGGTCAGTTATGGGGTTGTGGGGCAATGATGGGGTTATGGGGTCGGTTATGGGGTAGTAATGGGGTGGTTGTGGGGTCGGTTATGGGGTTGTGGGGCAATGATGGGGTTGTGGGGTCAGTTATGGGGTAGTAATGGGGTGGGTATAGGATGGTTATGGGGGGGTTATGGGGTGATGGGATCAGTTATGGAGTGATGGGGTTGAGGGGTCGGTTGTGGGGTTGTGGGATATTGGGGTTGCGGGGTTGGTTATGGGATTGTGGGGTGTTGGGGTTAGTTATGGGACGATGGGGTTGGTTATAGGGTCAGGGGATGCTGGGGTTCTAGGGTTGGTTGTAGGGTGATGGGGTTATGGAGTTGTGGGGTGGGGGGGTTATGGGGTCAGTTATGAGGTTGGTTGGGGGGTTATGGGATCAGTTATGGGGTTATGGGGTTGGATATGGGGTTATGGGGTCACTTATGGGGTCGATTACGGAGTTATGGAATTGGTTGTGGGAGCGGTTGTGGGGCTGGCTATGGGGTTGTGAGGTTGGTTGTGGGGTTGAAGGTTTGGTTATGGGGCTGATTGTGGGGCTATGGGACACACTATGGGAAACGCTATGGGGCAGCTATGGGGTATCTATAGGGTGACTATGGGGCAGCTATGGGGCTCTATGAGGCACTATGGGGTAACCATGGGGTCTCTATGGGGTCTCTGTGGGGCCGTACCCTCTCCCAAGCTCTTGCCCAGCGCCACGCGGTGCCGCTCCACCATCACGTCCCGCAGCTGCGCCCGCAGCTCCGCAGCCACCCCAAGAGAGCGAACTGTGGGGGCAGGGGGTCAGTGGGGTCAGTGGGGGAACCGGGGGCACTGGGGTCAGTGGGGGAACCGGGGGCACTGGGGGCAATGGGGGCAATGGGATATGGGAACATTGGGATATGGGAACATTGGAATAAGGGGGCATTGGGATAAGGGGGCATTGGGGTCAATGGGACATTGGGACATTAGGATATGGGGTCAGTGGGGTCAGTGGGGCCACTGGGGCCATAAGGACGTGGGATATAATGGGATGTCGGCCGTGGGGGCCATAAGGACGTGGGGATATTATGGGATGTGGGCCGTGGGGGCCATAAGGACGTGGGGATATTATGGGATGTGGGCTGTGGGGTCACTCACGCGTGCTGTCGGCGCTGCTGCGGCTGTAGGAGCTGCGGATGCGGAAATGAACGGCCGGTTCTCCATGGGAGGCGAAGGCAGCACTGAGGATACGGGGGCATTTGGGGTCAGCGGGGGATTTGGAGTCGGGGGGGATTTGGGGCCGGGGGGGATTTGGGGATATTGGGAGTACTGGGGTCAATGGGGTCAACGGGGGCGCTGGGGGATATGGGGACATTATGGGGCCGCTATGTGGACTCTATGGAGTTATGGGGAGCTATGGGGGTGTTATGGAGGCTATGGGGAGCTACGGGGGTGTTATGGGGGCTATGCAGTGCTATAGGGGTGCTATGGGGGCTATGGGGAGCTACGGGGGTGTTATGGGGGCTATGCAGTGCTATGGGGGTGTTATGGGGGCCATGGGGCCGTTCTGCTCACCCGTACCGCGTTTCCTTCCGGCGCCGCCAAACGGCCCCCACCGCCCCCAGCAGCAGCAGCGCAGTGACGGCACCCAGAGTCAGCAGCCACCAGGAGAGCACTGCGTGGGATCCCAGTCCTAATCCCAGTCCCAGGCCAAATCCCAATCCCAACCCTAACCCCAATCCCGGCCCCACTGCTCACCAGGCTGTGCATCTGACTGGGGGTCTTCAGCTGTGGGGCAGAGGAGACATTGGGGTCAATGGGGACATTGGGGCCAGTGGGAACATTGGGGTCAGTGAGGGCATTGGGGACACTGGGGTCAAAGGGGGCAATATGGGGGTCAATGGGATCAATGGGGGCAATAGGGGCATTGGGGTCTGAGAGGGCAATGGGGGGCAAAGGGAGAAATGGGGGCATTGGAGGGCAATGGGGTCAAAGGGGGTCAATGGGGGTCAATAGGGGTAAAGGGGGTTGACGTAAGCAATGGGGTCAGTGGGGTCAGTGGGGTCAGTGGGGTCGATGCACTCACAAGGCAGCACTATGGGGGCACTCCAGGGCCCCTCACCCCCCCCGGTGTAGGCGGCCACACAGACGGACACGTTGGGACCCCCCGGCAGCGCCAGCCTCACCTCCTGGGTCAGCCCCACATCCAGCTCCGTCTGGGGGGGAGACGGGGGAAAATGGGGGGAAATGGGGGGAGAGATAGGGGGAGAGATGGGGGAA